TTCTGTTGACGTTGACAACAAGGCAAAAGTCCGGCTAAAGTTAAGGCCAAAAAGAGATGGTACCGGGGGCAAGGAAGATGAGATGAGACGCGACCGAGGCAACAAATCAAAGTCGAACTGATGCCGATGCCGATGCCTCTTAAGACGCCTGTCGAATTGTTCTGGACGTTAGGCGGGGCCACGCCCCCACGCCCCCACTTTCTCACCACGCCTCCCGCCCGCGCCTTTCCCTGCTGCAATATCTCAATCTTAAGCCTGCTGCGGTTGAAGTGTATTTAAAAGTTTGATTAGTTTTAATGTTTGCAGGGTAAGTTTTTGATCATAATCTTTTTTGGTATTTTTTTGTAATTTCTGTAAAGTTGATTCGATTTGCGACTGGTATTTAATGCATCTGCATCCATATGTATGCCCATCCACTGCCTATTCATCCATAAGCGAACTAATCACGAGCATATTGCATAAAATAGCAATTTCATAAATGGAAACATTTGTCTAGACACATTGTTTGCTGCCCATTTAGACTGGTATGAATAAAATTATGCAAATTGCTTAGGTTCCAATGTTGTACAAAAGCTGAATTGAATGTTATAAATTCAAGGAATAGCAATTCAGTTCATAACTACATATGATAATTATACCCGTTACTCGTAGAGTAGAAGGGTATACTAGATTCGTTGAAAAGTATGTAACAGCAGAAGGAAGTTAAAAAATGTCCCAAAGCTGAAGTTCTTAGCTCAATAACTCAACTTATCTTAATCGGATTTTGAAGTGACATACCTCTAAATGTTTCTGGCGCAATTCTCTTCATTCAAATGTAGAAAAAATTTTTTTTTAATTTTTTTATAATTTTTTTTTGTAATTATACCCGTTACTCGTAGAGTAAAAGGGTATACTAATTTTTTTTGTAATTATACCCGTTACTCGTAGAGTAAAAGGGTATACTAGATTCGTTGAAAAGTATGTAACAGGCAGAAGGAAATGTTTCCGACCATATAAAGTATATATATATTCTTGATCAGGATCAATAGCCGAGCCGATTAAATATTTAAAATTTTTATAAATTGAATTGAAATTATAATTAATTATAACTGCGCATTCTGCTGCCGGAAATTAAATTATTTTCAGTATAGGCTTTTGCAGTTCTAACCTAATCTGCTGCTTGCCGTGTGCCACCTTTCAAAAGTTAAATTATAATATATACATTGGAAAAAGGGACTGGCAGATGCAGTCATAAATTATGAATTATGAATGTCAAGGTGCCTACGTACGTGTGTGGCACAAGGACTTCGTCCTCTCCGTTCCGTTCCTATTGGCCTGCTCGTCCCACGGGTCCAATAATGTTAAGAGCCCCACGCTCCGCAGGGGGTGGATGCAAGGGCCAAGTTAATAGAAACACTTTCGGTGTGCTGAAGTTATAAACATTTATGGCAGCTACTTAAAAATGTCAAGCGAAAAAATTATGATAATGATACGTGACATTTGAAAGCAATAACAATTTAGTTAGCACGCACTTTTTGATTACTCTTCTTTTTCGTCGCATCCAGAGCCATTCCTCTTTTTTGGCATCGACCTCATGCTTTGCTTTTGGGCTGGTTGCCTACATTATTTATGATTTTGGTCCACATAAAATGGTGATATTGCTTTAAAAATTGCCCTTATACACATTCAGTGGAACAGAATGAAATGGCAAAATAAAATACTTCCGACATTTTGTGGTGTTTAAGTAGGAGACAGGTACTTTATGAAAATTATTCCCCTAAATGTATAGGCATATACATATATATTATATGCGATCGTAAAGCATATTTTAATTCATATATCCGTTCATGCTATCAAGCCAAACAGGCAAGAACTTTATTCTGAGAACCCTTAGGGATTTCAAGGATTTGACAGTTGTACATTTTGCTAAAAAAAAAAGATTAAAGTAAAGATTTATGTAAACCTGGAAAACTTACTCTGCTAAGCGCTTTTGTGGCAATCCGCGCTTTTAGCTTATACCATACAGCTGACAAGTGTGGGTGTGTTAATTTTTCACCAATTGTCATGGTTACGAAATTAACCAAAAATGCAGAGAAAACTGGGCTAGGATCCGGGCGCAGATCCTCTGAGGAAAGCGGCAAACAAACCAGCAGCCAACAGCCAGCAACTGCAACCAGCAGTGTGGCAGTGGCAACAACATGAACAGCAAAGCACACATCCTGTGTGTCAACTGAATAATTCGTTGCATGCACAAAAGGCATGCACTCACATCCGGTTTCCTGTCATTCTTTTTGCTTTCTGCTTGCCAGAGACAGAAAGGGCTAACCAACACTGTTGCAGTGCAGTGCTGGCAGTGGAGGGGAGTGGGGGCAGAGCGGAGCGGAGTGGAGTAGCTAGGCCTGCAATTTATGTCCATATATTTGCTGTTGTTGTCTTTATGGCGTGTTCGGTATTTGTTGCAACTTTTGTTTTGAATTCCTGCGGCCTTGTCACACGGCTCCATGAGTTCGCAGTTAAATTTATGTTTCATCCCACACACCCAAGCCCACACCCACACACACAGGGGTCCAACTCCTAACGAACAATGAGCGGGGCAGAAAAAAAGTGTTGAATGCATCAGAGGGCATCCAGTCCGGTCCTAGGGTCCGGGTCATAGGTCTTCTGGGATGGCGACGCGTCGCCTGCTTTTGTAAAGCAGCGTATAATCCACTGATTGCTCCCAAGGTTCAGCTTTCAACAATGAAGGACACAGCACATGCACAGAGCGAAATCGGGGGGCGCAAGCGTGAAGCATGGGGCCGTGCGGAGAAGAAGAATGTTGACGAGACAGGTTACCTTTGGTTCTGCTATAGCTGTCGGGTCAACGGATGTGATGCACTTGGCTGTTGCAGGCAGAGCAGTTTCCCCATTGTAGGTCTATCAGCTATACCATCTGCTCATGGTTGTACATGGTACATATATTTAATACGGATATCACAATTTCACCCAAGGCTACTTACGACTTTTAATGAAACTTTTGATTTGAGAATATGCCTGGTACCATATACAAAATATGATTTTTTTGAAAATAATACGTTGTCTATGGTTGAAATCCAATGATTGTGCACTAAAGTTTTAGAAAGCAGTTCCAACTATTTACTTAAGGCTTTAAAAAGTGTATTTAATTTGTGCATGAAGGCTGGCTTCATCATTCCTCCCCTTGGACCAACATTCTGCAATTCTTGAAGTCCTTTGTATGCCGCTGAATGACATCGCACCTGGACTGTTCGAGGCTTGAACTTTCCATGGGAAAAGTACCCATCTGGAGTCCCTAGCCAGCATTAATTTTGCATATGAATACGAGCACTATGGATGTGTCCTTGTCGTCAGGATAGCGCATTGCCACTTGTGCAACATTTCCCAGCATTGCTCCCGCTTCATACAAGTACTTATTGATGCAATAAATTGAAAAAACAGATACGTTCTGGTAAGTAGCGTGTATACTAAATAGAAACATTATCATACAAATAAATTTATTTGCTTGCAAGTATATTGCATGCTGCCACGCCTACACTTTTGAGAAATGCTTCGTTTTATTCTGATATCTAACGATATGCCAAAAATGTTTTGAACACGCATAGTCTAATGTCCACAAAAAGCTGTCATGCTCACAATTCTCAAAGTTTTTCGTTTTTCTTGCCTATTTTTATCTAAATTTTCATAAATCTTTTTTTACCTTGTCTACTACAGCAACATCTGCGTGCTGTGTATAATCAATGTTTGAATACAGCTTTTACCGTAAAGAACATAGTTGCCGAATAGCCATAGTATCGGCCAAAATAATCTCTCCGAAGAATGCAATGAGCTTAGCTAAACACAAACAATCGATGTTTTTGCTACGGACTTCCATTTGCATTTTGCAACGCTGGCTTCATTAGGCAGCACCCAAGTAAATGAAGTCTGCCTGCAAACGTAGCAGAAAAATTGAAATGATATGTATGCACATCTGAGCCAAGTATTTTTCTTTCACATACGCAAACACACTCACCTGAAAAAAGGGGTAAAATAATGCTGCCAACTCGGCAGTTGTTGCTGCACTGCACTGCATTTAAGTAAAATGAATTGCTTGCAATTTATTTTTGTTGCTTATCATATAAATTGCACTCGCTCGCCTGCAAGTCATTATTTGGCACATTTGCGCTCAATGACTGCACATTGTTTCTACATCGTCCTCCATCCGTATCCCTCGGCCACAGTGTTAAATAGGAGTGACGAACCGGAAGTTTCCAGATACAACAACTGCTGACCCAGTGGGGCTTGGGTGGCCCAAATAGACCTGATCGGTTGGTCTTTTGCACTTGACTGCATCCTTAACCTTTTGCAGCAGCCGAATTCGAAGACACCTGAAAGTGCCACTTAAGCATTTTCAGATTCTTTATTTACCTTCTCTTAAGCACTCCGCCCACCACCCACTCAAATAAATTTCCGGCTTGTGTTCCCATTTTTTTGATTTACATATTGCTGCGTGGAGTGTGTCGAGAAAATACATTTTTACAACTTAAATTGCATTTTGATTCATATGAAATAAAGCCCGCAGTATCCAAAGCGTTTGGATATTACTAAGTATAATTCATATTACAACTAAATTGCCCAGAAGTTGTTTACAATCAGCATGCAACATTGAGGTCAAAACGAAAATTTCATGTTATCAGTGACACTAAATAGTATTTACACAATTTGAGAAGAAATCTTGCCCCCAAATACTAATTTTAATCGCATTCAATGTCGACACCAAAACATGGGGCATAATAAATTCAGCACACCGGAAAAAAAATTCATTAACAATCAGAAAACAACAATTAAAACGGACTCAAACGTAGAAACCAAAACGTTTTTTTAACTTGAGAGCCAAGCATTAGTTGCAATGGGTACCTCTCTTGATTGTTTTTAAATACAATAGTATTATTGGTAAAGATTGTATTTAAAAGTGCTTATTTCGAAAATGGTAGAATAATCATTCGGTTACCCAGACGATGAGTATATAAGCAGGCACAGCGGCTCCCAGCAGATTCATAGCAACAATTCTACTTGGTGACGATGGACCTAAAGTGCTGCGTAAGTTCGCTCAGAGCAGCTGGAGCTGATCTGATAGCCGCGAGCCGGGTCTGACCCCACTTTAGATTAATAGTACCTATCTTCAGCTGCTTTTCCTATCGCTTTTGTTGGCCGGGACTTTGGCTAGCCCAGTACCAGACACGCCACGCCCAACTCTACCGCCCTGCACGCCCTGGTGTGCCGGACAGCCCCCTCCGCCACCGGGAGCAGTGAACTAATTGTCTTGTCATTGCGATTGCAATATCAAAAAATAATATTTCACAATACCTCTAACGAGCTAGCAAGTCGAACAAATAAATCTGACAATCTTAATTTGTTTATTCATTCTTTCACGGGTTTTTCATCATTTTTTAGGTTTTTTCTAAAGTGCTTACGTGTTCTGCTTTTAGATTGTGCTTTTATTTTACTGATTTTGGCTTTTAGCATTTGGGGCTACTAAGGTAGATGGAGTAGTTAAGCTAGTAGTGCAATTTTTTTGACCGTCGAAATAATGGGTGCATCGTATGTGGGTGCATTTAACCCAATTACAAGAGTACTTGTAGGATGTACGAGTATATTTGAGCTGGGCTGCTGTATTTGTTGGGATGGAAACGCTAGTGATGCAATTTGATGTACCATCTAATGTTTTTGTGCAACGCTTAGAAGTGCATTTATATTGCCCTGTATTCGAATTACATTCGTAATGGTATGATGACCCTGGATTGGACCAAGCTGCAGCAATTATAAGGAAACTGAATAGTACAATCTGAAACTATTAATATTTTTCATCAATAACTTATATAACATACAACTTATAACTTACTATAACCTCCATCTTGTCAGTAATAGAGCTCTTTATTGCAAACTGTGACTTATATAGCGAAAAAGAAAGGGAGCTTTCACTTAACATTAAATACGATTACAAATGCAGTAACATAATATACTGACTGTAGCCATACTCACGTATCATCAGTATTCACTGGAAGTTGATACTTTTAACCTTACAATGTTTCTTCAAGAGAATTAGCTGATGCATCGATGAATTCCCAAAGCTAGGCTCGTTGAACGATAAAGGAAGCTGCTTTTATTAAAAATAAGGTGGTTAGGCACGCTAAAAGAATGGATATTTATAATAAAAAGTAATCAATGTCCCATCACAACATCAGAAATTGCTATAGAACTGGATAATCCTCATGTTAAAACCATCCAACTAAATAGGAACCAAACTGTATGTCATTTATGTAACCAGCAATAATATTTTATTGGTTAATTTAAACCTTGAAAGGTAAAGTCAAGAATTTCTTAAATCCACGATTTCGTATTTACTTTCCCGCGTTTTTTTTACCAGGAGGCAGGTGAAAATAGGTAGTTTTTTGTATCCTAATTCCTGGAGTTGATGGGAGTTGATATGGCCAATATCAACATAGAAAGAAATCGGTATTGAATGAGCTACGCGGCTTGGAATAAAAATCTGTGACTAATGCGTACTTCAACAATCTAGAATTTGAGATTGCAAATATATGTATAAACATTTTATACACTCTTTAACATTGATCGCTCCACTCTACTGACTATGCCTTTTAACTTTTAGTATACTATATAGTATAGAATAGTATGGTATAGTATGCGCCTTTTTATCAACTGAAAAGACAGTTGCTTTCAAGCAACTGTAAAAAGTAGTTTCTGTATCAATCTTGTTCTTTGTGTTGTGACTTCAAAAACGCAACTCATTTAAGGTTTTTTGGATTTTTTAAATTTTTATTGAGTCAGTATTTTAGTGATGTTGGCCGTGTCCGCCGTGTCCTCCTTGTTGACCATGTCCACCCTGTCCGAATCCTTGCTGGCCATGTCCACCCTGTCCGAATCCTTGCTGACCATGTCCACCTTGTCCGAATCCTTGCTGACCGTGTCCACCCTGTTCTCTATAGTTACTGGCGAGGACCACTGCGATCAAGGCAAAGAAAACAATCTAAGAAAAAGAGAAGAAAGACGATATTTTAATTCGGAACCCACCAAAATCCAATTAAGGTATTAGCAGAGCTTACGAAGAATTTCATTTTGGTAGGTTGGTTGTTTACACTGGCGAAAGCGTTCTAAATAATTCAATGCAAATGGCACGGCTTTTATAGCAGTGGGACGCCTGCATGATGCGATTGGCACCAAAACAAAGTAATAAAAACAAATTTTTGTTTTTTTTGCTTATTATTTCCTATTGAAATCTATATACCATACCCCAAGCTGTGGTTATTTGATTAGGCGTCTGGGGATGAGGACCTTTAGCCTGACCTTTGCTTTTGTTAATTTGCTTTGCTTATTTTGGAGCTGATTAGCTAAGTGCCGATTAAAAGCTTTCCGATTGCCACCAAAACATAGGTAAAGAAATGGCGAAGACTTTCTTGAGGGATCTATTTCATTTCACAAATTGAACAGTATACTTTTAGGCTGAATTTGTACCGGAACACACAAAAAAATGTTGTAGTAGTTTACAAATTTGAAATGTTTTTGATTGTGTTGCTTCTGAAAAAAATAGTATTACAACAAATTTCTGTTAAATAAAAAAGCTTGTAAAAGAAAATTAAAAATTAAAAGGGAATTAAATTAAATATACATTATAAGACATAATTTCTAAGTTTTTAAAGACGTTTTTTATAGAGTAAAGTAAAGTACCTATATTCTTGTTCAGGATCACTAGCCGTGTCGATCAACCTTGTCCGTTTGTCTTTCCGTCCGTATGAACGAAGATATCTCAACAAAGTTGAGGTTAGGCATATCGATTCTTGGGACGCACACGCAGCGCAAGTTCGTTTCGAAACGTTGCCACGCCCACAATATATTTATATTTTTTGCTCATTTTTATCAAAATTTTGAATTATCTTCTTAGTACTTCCAACAGCCGAGAAACAGGTATCTCATAGTCGAGGAAATCGACTATAGCGGTCTATCATGTTAAGCGAAAAAAAAAAAAACAAATAATATAATTATACATAAATTTCGTAAGCCGTATTTCAATTTTTGAATTAGTTTTTATAATAACCCAGAAAAAAACAAACAAGCAATTGTGTTGCCTTGACGACACGCTTATGCTGCGTGAAAATGGTACAGAAATAATCTAAAGTAATCCCAAACAATGTGTTCTTCTAAGTCGCTCTTCAGTTTTCTTAGACTGTTGAGAACCTATTAGATTAGGCTTGTCTTCCCCGATAAGCTTGATGCTGAAGGGTTGCCCTTCTTGAGCATAGACATTGAATACCCAGACGTCTGGAAATTTTCTGGTGTTTTTGTTGGGTTCATTGTATTTGATTTTGTCTGAACATTGATAATACTATGGCGCGTGACGACACGAGGAGATTGCAGGAGAGTATAAAAGATCGTAGGCGTTCTAAAATTTCGTTCACATTAGCAAGACTAATCGAAGCATCAGCACCATGAAGTTTTTAGTAAGTTAAAATATACATATACTGTTTAGAATAAAAATTGTTAACGATAGTTCTTGTCAATTATGTTACAGATCCTCTTTGTTGCACTTTTCGCCATGGCCGCAGCTGTGCCTCATAGAAATGAATTTGGAGGTGAATTTGGAGGTCGATTCGGAGGCGGAATTGAGGGCCAACAGCAGCAGCAGCAAGAAGGATTTGGAGGTGGATTCGGAGGTGGATTCGGAGGCCAACAACAGCAACAGCAGCAGGATGGATTTGGAGGTGGATTCGGAGGTGGATTCGGAGGCCAACAACAGCAACAGCAGCAGGATGGATTTGGAGGTGGATTCGGAGGTGGATTCGGAGGCCAACAACAGCAACAGCAGCAGGATGGATTCGGAGGCTGGTAGAGACCAAGATCCATAGGAACTCCTTAACGCAAATACACCAATAAAAAAATGACACCTTAATACAGAATTCAATGGTTTTTATATTTTTACGGAAAGAATCGTGCCCAAGATATTTATATTACCTACTTTTACTCGAATTAAGTCGTGTCGAAAGGAGTTTACAGATGTTTACAGATTGGTCTAATGAGATACATTACGGATTGAAAGCTTAATTATTTTAGCGTCAGTTAGGAATAAAATAAAAATCATTGTGTTCGCTATGCAGTTTTCACTTATTTGATTTGTTTTTATCTCGAAGTAGCTAAATAATACAAATAATTGATGGTTGATCAATTTTTTGTTTAATTTTATTCAATCCAATCCACGTATCCAATTATACGTGGCATTCAATTTGCATTAATAGCCAGCTATATGTGGCGTTATTTATTAAAGCGACACTTTTATTATATTGTGCTCAAAAGTAAATGACCCAAGCGTAAAGTGTAGTCTTGTCTTTCAGATGTCGACTTTGTTGCCAATTTTACTCACAACTTTACAAATATAAATAAAAGGCAAACTATAAAAGCCAAATTAGAAATATAAGTCAAATTTTCACAAAAATTTTGCTTTTCTTTGAACTATGTAACGCAACCCACAAGGCGGAATCAAAATGCTTGAAAAAAGAGGCACGATTTCGAGTCGCCTAATCAATGGCCTCCTCCGCAGCCACCCATTTTTGCTCCTCGATCTGTATCTTGTCCAGATCGACTCCATGCTTTCTGACACCCTGTAGTAGTTCGCCCTCGGATCCGCCCAGCTGGCTGGCCTGCCAAACTCTTGTCCACGGCAGAGACATCACCGACATGACCTTGGACAGACTGTTCTGCTTTTCCCTATCCAGATCACTGCCCCAATTTCCTTCTCGTCTCCGTCTGCCGCACTCCGGCAGCTGCAGCTCCTCGCAGCACAGCATGGAGATCAGCAAGTGCTCCGCGAAGAGGGCGTGCCGCCGCCTTCGACATTCGTCCAATTCCGTATCCAGGCGCCGCACTTTTTGCTGTGCCATCCACTGAAGTAGAAGATATCTCCCGTCGCGCTGCTCGGATGGCTGCGCGACAGTCAAACTAAACGCCTTGGACTCTGGACTGGCTGCCTCCGCTGGAGGATCCATGTGGCCATGTGGCCTCGCAGGGCCAGTTGACAGCTGTAGGAGCATATCAACTGGCCGCCCTGTATGCGGATTGGGTTGCAGCTGTGACTGGCGGCGGTGGCGTATGTGATTCCGGGGGAATATTTGGCGTAGAGGCGGTGTGTCGGGCTCTAGGAAATTGGCGTGATCGATGTGGTTGTGCAGGAGGTGTTTGGACAGGTTGCGTATGGCCACCAGATCGACGGCCGACAGGCCAGCGCACATGGGGCAGACCACATATTCATCGGACAGCCGATGTTGTACGTACACGTGCTCGATTAAACGCTTTGCCGGGAGGGCGAGTAGGCCGCAGTATGGACAGGTGAAGCAATTGGACAGGTGTATCAGCTCTGGGATTTCGCCGTTGAGCAGCAGGCCCAGATCGTCTGGGTCAGAGATCATTTGCATGGGATGATTGACGCGATGCTCTTCCGTTTCTATCCGCTGATCGTAGCAAATGCCGCATAGGTTATAGTTCACGCAGCGCAAGCACCGGAAGCGGCGGCACCGGAAGTTCGTCATTCGACAGCCGTCGCAGCAAATGTTGCGATGGCCCATCCTTGATTCTTGAGCTAACTTTGTTCTAAGCGATAGACCTAAACTCTGGTCGAAAAATCGGGCAAAAGGTTTCTGAATTTCAACAAATCAAATCTGTACAATGACATGTTTTTCATCGATGTAATCTATTACCGTGCGTTCGGTATTAATTGGGCACTCTGATTTTTAAACTAAACTTTAACCGAAATTTACCAAACGTAATCACATTTTGTACAAGTAATGTGTCAATAATGTATATTTTCCCTTATCTCTTGTAAACAAATGATCATTTTTAGCAACGAAAAAACTAACAAAAACGAATTTATACAGATAAGCATGCACTGTAATATTATGCTGTAATGTAAACAAGGCTTATATGTTTGCCAAACTCATATGATAAGAAAAACCATTTTTGATATGGAACTACGGAGCAGAAAGAAAAGTAAATCTGTTGACAGTAGAAGATTACTGAAAGGTTATCAATTTTGCTTATAGCATAGGGCAGATTTCACATGAACTGAAAATGATATTATATGTACAAATGTAATCCAGAGCAGTGTATGTACAAATAAAATGAAAACCCAAAAAAATACGCAAAAAGAATTGCCATTTTAGTCGGCAACGTGTTAAACACATCGGTTCTGTGCCATTAGTTGTTCTTCTGTCTCTGTCTGTCTCTGGCTCTCCATCTCGCTCTGTTCTTTTTAATTTTCCCGGCTTGCTGCGCGGCAGTTGTAATGGAAGTCTTCCGGCTTCATGCACCTCCGCCCGTGCAGCACCCTCTTTTGGGGTACCAATGTGGTGGATTTAGTACACTCATAAAAATATTTCATTTTAAACCCTGAACCCTGAAACGATTCAATCCCAAAATGACGTCTATCCACAGCACTGAGAAAATTAATGCAAAATAAATTGTGAAATTCATTAAAGTTAACAATAAAGTGTTTGTTAGACACGATGCAATTAATGTATTCCAGTTTTAAAACATAAGGTTGAAACTAGGGGTACTTTTTTGAGAGTGCATGAGCAGAGCTCCTGTTTCTGCACTGGTGTTGGTAATTATTTTATAGAGTGTGGCGGACGGAACGCAATCTCTTTGCCACAATGTGTGTGTGTGTGTGTGTGTGTTTCTGGGTGTGTGTATGCGTGGGCAACTTATGTTTACCAAGTGCGAAAGTGGAAACGTGCTGCAAACATGAAGTCCCGCCGCCGCTGCCCACTTTTCTCCCACTCCCCCAGCCGCCCAGTGTTCTACGCTCTATAATAGGATTTGAATACAATGGCATTGTAATGAAATGTGCAGCAAACGATGGTCTGCAGACGGTCGGTGGCAAGTCGAGCTTTGGACTGCGGTTGCCTTTGGACTGGGGCAAGTTCTGCGATTGCGATATGGTTCTGCAGCGGTTCTCCGCCGGCTGTTCCTTGGCAGGAACAAGCCAAACAGCTGTTCCGCCTTTGTCTGTCCGTCTGTCTGTCTGTCTGTCTGGCTGGCCGTGTAATTTGAGTTGGTAATTAAAAGTACAGCAAAAGGCAAACTGCTGCAACGGCCGCACATCAAGGCTCCGCTTCACACGTTTGGTCCGGGTGGTGCGCGTTCCAATGCCAAAGCAGTCTTCTAAGTGCACCACATTGGTTTTTATTCGAGACTGCTTGAAAAGGTGTCCTCTAAGGGAATGGATCGGATGCTATGCAATATCCTAGGCAGGATACCCTGAAGGATCTGAGCAGTACAAGCACACTAAATTAGCATTGCGAACTACCACTAACATGGTAGAAATGTTTGAACACTACGAATAAATTAACATGCCAAAAGGTAAAGCTAACGAGGGTAGTGTTTTTTAAGTTCCAAACTTCGGTGCAGAGTCAAAGGGCTTGAAAGCCCTATTAGATGCGGACGAAATGTTTAAAGAAAACCCATCAATCAAGGCCTGTCGACCTTTGTTGATTAGTTTATCAATTAAGTGTAATTGAAATTTTATTTTCATTAGCTTGGCAAGGGGTGTCGTTAAACCCGCTTCAATTGTGCTAATTAATGGCAAGCCTGTCCGAGAAGCTCCGCCGAAATCTCGCAGCCATAAGCGATTTGGAAAATCAGGGGCCTTGAGGAAAATTACAAGGCATTAGAATCATTAAAATCGGTAGGTGAGAGACGAAAGATGGATTCTTCTAATTGCGCTCCGCTTTTCCTCCGCTTTTGTCGAAAGCTGTCAATGAAAATTCGCTTCTTTGGCCTCTTTTATTTATGTTAATTCGTTTGCCTTGCTTTGCTTGATTTCAGTATTTTTTTTTTGTTCCTTCCCCTAGCGTGACGATATGCTCAATTGCTTTTGTAATCAATCAAAGTCAAAAGCGCAAAATGTTACTTACATACTCGGATCGGGGGAGGCGTTAAAGGAGCATGTCCTGATTGGTTTGGGGGCGCGGATGGGTTCGAAAGTGCAGCCAGGATGCTCGGGGCGGAAACCGGATTGTCATGTGTGCTCGCGGGTCTCGTGGTGCTAGATACTCAATGCTGGATGCTGGATGCTGGATGCTGGATGTTGGATGCTCGATGCTCTTTGCTCGTATTTTGTGTTGGTGTTTGACGTGACACTTGAGCGACACTTGAAGCCCGATAATTGATATTGTGCAGCCCGGAGTTGGGTGTACGGATGGGGCTGCGGATGGGACTACGGATGCGGCTCCGGATGTGGGGGGCGTGGCCAAGTGCCGGTGTGCGACAGTTTCGGATTCTTGTAATTGCCGCTGACACATTTTCGTGGTTTAGTTCCGGGGGGAAGTCACTGATAATTCCACGGGAACGACTGTCAATCACTGGTTAAGTCCGCAACAAAAGTTCATTTATAAAAAAGCCTGTATAGATAATGTAAAATATTTGATCTAAATAGTTTAAAGAGAATAGAATATAAAAATAGAACTCAGAACTCCTCGACCCAAGTTTGCTTTAAGTTTTCCTTGATAATCGTTGATGACCTTCCGTTAAATCTGGTCAATGTGCCAACTACCGCACTTAGTGTCAACTTCAGGAACAGTGAACTCCTGCCCGCAGAAAGCCACCAGATAATTGTTAACCATTAAGTCGCACCGCAAATCAAGTGCAGCAATTGCAACTGGACTGCAATTCATTTGCGGCATGGATCATTAAAGGGCGCAGGGGCCGAGAACTTTGGACCGGAGACAAACCGCATGCAAAGTTGCCAACGTGGCCGAAACAGACGTCACCACCGGAACCAGTCCGGTCCAAAACAAACCGAGCTCCATCGCCCCCCCCCGGGCCAACGAAAATGCTTCAGATGGAAAGTTTGTGAGCATAAAGAGTTTTCAGCCAAGTGATGGATGAAGTGGATGAGCTGCTGGCAGGGTAATGGGCACAAAAAGGATTGCACAATGGTTTCACGCTGCTTTCAGATCCATTAAGCATTCCATGCCAATACGGCGATGCCAAAACCGAGAAGGGAATGTTGCGGATGACTAGTGGCACAGCGCTTTGAACTTTGACTGAGGCAAATAATGGCATGCGTCGCAACTATTTCGCATTTCGAATATTTAATCTACATAATTTAGATAACATTATTCGTCATTAGTGTCAGAAAGCGTGGCACATCTAGCGAAATCCTTTTAATGTCCAATGCCGTATACCGAAGCCTTCTCGACGACAAGTGATAAGTCGATTCAGTTAATAATGTCAGGCCTTCAAATGAGCAGATATCAGAGTTGACATCTATTAGACGACAGCGAGACACTTTTCAGCCAGCCTGCCTGCCTGCCAGACCGCTCGCATTAATATTAATTTATCAGCAAGGCACATTATTTATGAAATTTTATCATTTTCGGTAATTAAGACGCGCTAACGGGGTCTATGACATCTTAATTAAAGCCAAACCGAAAACCGCCGCCGTGCAAAAAAGATAAACGCCCCAGTCGAAGTGCCTCTTGAAATTATTATCATCACACCAACACGTTGGCAAGCCAGGGTAAAAAAGAGCAAGTTAAGAAAGCAAAAGTTTGTCGACAATCCCGACGCACTTTTATGGCACGGCTTTTGGCTGCGAATGAAAATGAAGATACGAGAAAGTCGACCCGACACCAACTGGGTGTGTAACACTTAGGGATGGCATCGAGGACACTATTTGGGGAATTTCCCATTTTACAAGCTCCAAAAATATCACACAAAATGTATCTCAAATCTTTTAATTGAGATACTCCATCATTAGGCTAATGGCAAACTTAAACTAAAAAAAATTAATGCAAAATTAAATAAATAAATGAAAGTTTTTCGTTTAGCAAAAGTGTGACCTAAACGATGCAGTTATTGCTTCCAGCTTATGCTCGAGATCTCTGTTTTCTCGAATTTTTGCCAGGATTCCATCTCTACCGTGGAAACTTGGACGTATGTGAGCGCGTACTTTTCTGCTTAAAGTATGATTGCAAGTGTGAAAATATATATGCTAAACGTGCCCGAACGCCCCGCTCGTCGTCTCCGTTGCGCTTCATGCGTTTTTGTTTTATGACGCGGCGACGTGCTCGGAAAATGAAAAGCACTTGACGCGCCAAAGTGCTGAACTTGGCGGTCCTCCACTGGCGCCCCGGATCCGTCCGTATGTGAATCCGTCCGTCCGCCGGTTCATCAGGCCCCAAGCCCCCACACGACCCACAGTTGGTCCGCACATGCTAAATCGTAAAATGCTCCATTCTTTCATTTTTTCTTCATTTTTTTCTTTGCTGTTAAAGTTTTTATACTCTTTTTTCGGGGGTATAGCACGCAGAGACAGGGCAAGTCGGAATTTGATTTAATTAATTTTAAATATTTAAATACACTTCATTTGTTTCAAGCCCTAATGCTCAAAGATATTCGTATTCAGGGGTATAAACTTGCAGTTTTTATATGAATTACGCTGCACTCTTACTTAATTCAGCTGAAAAATTTGACTTAAAACCTATGGCAAAGTAGCTTTTATGTGTTAATAGTCTGAGTGCTCAATATCAAAGTCACAATTTCACACACTCCCAAGTCTCCTTGAGGACAATTTTCGGGTTAGAGTATCTCCAAAGCATTTAGAGGCAGCGAAATCAGTTTCCACTTCTTCTGGGTGCCTTATTTTTTATGCGACGTGCGCTCGCCTGTAAATGGGTTTCTCCCTGGCTTCCATTACTTCTATTCCATTCTCATTTGTTCGAACAATTTAAGAAATTGTCGCCCTGTCTTGCCCCAGTGTCCTGGCCACTCCTCCTGGCATAAAAAACACAACGGGTATGCATGTTCGAAGTTTATAGTAAATAAAGTATGATTGTCTATTGTCAATGCTCGTTGTTTTTGTGGTTTATAAAAATTCAACACTCTATTTGCTGCTCCTCCGGCACTCGCTCACTCTCAGTTAATTTCATTTGATTTATATGGACTGTGCAAATGGATATTGGGCTGGGAATGCGGATGAGCTTGGATTTGAAAGTTGGGGTCAAGCCGTGTTCTGTAATCGCTCTTGTTGATGACGCCGATGCTGGATGCTATTGTGGTCAATAAATTACCAGCTGTGCAGAAAATCCTTTTACGCTTTTGTTCCTTTTCACACATTTGAAGTGCACTTTATGCTTTTTGCATGCACAATTCGCAATTAATTAAAACAATTATGTAGGCAGCGACACGACAAGAACAACAACACCAGGAACAGGAAAAAGGCAAACAAGAGGGCAGTGATGAAAAAAAAATTAAAAAATCCACCAAGATATACGAACATTTTCTGCGGTAAAATGTCATGTCGCCTGTCAACCACACATTCCCAGTTCGAGTATTATGCAATTAAAAAACTGAAAGAGCTGTTCCACTGAAATTTCCAAACCACATCAGACAGTTCTTACACCTTGCTTCTTGAGTCAAAACGAAAATTTAATCAAAAATGGGGGAAATTAAGCAAAAAGTGAACTATTTTTCGATACGACTGTGTAAACTATGATATGTTCCTGTACTTCATGACCATATCGATATCACTAGTGTTGATAATGGAAAACAACGGAACCCCATTAATGTCCTTATTGGATGGCACATTTCTGGACGCTTACAATCGTTCGACAGATAGTCGTGAAGGCGGGATTAATTCTTATCCGTGGAGAAGTGCTGAAGCTGGGAATAGGTCTTATAAAGAACGCACTAGATTTAGTAAAATGTTAAGCAGAACCCGTCAAAAGGTGATACGTGGAACATATTCCGAAGAGGCGGAGACGAAAAGAATTGAGAGTTTATGGGATCCCGTTCTCAATCAAAGCTACGACTTTTCCAGCTTTGAGCAAAATAGTACGACTGCCAAAACAGTTCCCACTACAACAAGTGAAAAGTTTGGTCTGGAAAATACAGAACGCATACATGAGAATATGTCAGAGCAAGAGCGAAGTGAGAATTCAACTCATCTCGATTATAATGGAGATAATTCATTGAGTTCAGTCATCACCGAAAAGAGTTATGAATACGAAAACCTGACGGATGAAACCGAAGGAATCACCTCCCAAATCCCAAATATGTCAACCAGCTTTGAGGATTTCCCGCTAGTTGATGAGTATCGGTTTCCCAACTATAATCAAAGCTCAGCCTGCATAAATTACAACTCTACAGAGTTTCAAAATCAAACTGTCAATGGTTATAATTTTACGACGCATTGCCTTGTACCAGTTAATGGTACCCAAAGTTCTGTAAAAAACCAACTATTGCGTGACAGTATCATTGGGCGAAACTTTAGAACCGAAATGCAGAGCCAGAAATTTCTATTAAAGGTGTACCTATTCATGAGCCCCAATCCAGTTTATGGACAAAAGTATTCAATTTTCACCACTATGCCGAGCCTGGAAACGACGAACTTTGTGCTCAACATCACTGTAGATACCAATGATTACTTAATTGATGACGTTCATACGGAAATCAAATCCTCGACTTGGAGATACACCAAGAATCTTCGGAAGCTATTGCGAAAATGGGGCTTAATAAGTAATCGAATTTCCTACAATGGTTGTTATTACCATCGAAGTTCGGCTCGATTCTACAATACGAAACATAAATACATCATTGCTACAGTAAGTGCATTGAAGGACAGACGAAAACTATTGGCACGAATGGTGCATTTTAAAATTAAAGTACACAAACCGTCAAAAGTGGCATGCCTACCCGCTTTGGAGTTGGAATTTTGCAAGAATCCCCAAAAGCCAGTTTTTTTCGCACCCATAGGTCATCTAGAATTTTTCGCGACAATTAGTGGCACATGCTCCAATGTGGAGTATGACGAAATCGAATGGCAATTTCGTGATATCACAGAGAAAAGTGAGTAGTATATTATGCCTTCTATTCTTTGTTTGACATTAAAGAGATTATGATATTGATAACGATCCAATACTTTCATATGATATTTTTTAACCGCAGAAATTATAGCCCGTTTAGAACGCTCCACTGGACTTGTGGTGAAGATACTGCCCTACAAGGTACATATCCTACATGATCCGGACAGGAAAAAAGTCTTTATATTGCGAGGTGAAGCTGTGATAAACGGCATAACTACAGTAGCTCGTGTGAGTGGACCAGGTCCAGAAGAAATGTATAACCCCTCAGGGTTTGACCTTTATTTCAGTGCTATATGAAGTTCAGAGCCACCCCAATCGAACCCCATATCAAGGGCAATGAGCGACGTGTGGTCGACGTCCGAAAACCAGTTTTTATTGACGGGTCCAACTCCAAGGACAGGTTGGCGAAAATAGAATCTATGAACTCCAAGCGCTTCTTGTGGTCTTGTATCAGTATAGACGATCCATTGAACAAATATTGCAGAACGAGTATGTCCGAGAGTGAGTATGATGAACAAATTAAGAAATCTATTGTCGGCCACTGTTGGCAACACTTGTAACAGGTTTTAAAATGTTGTATTAGGATTCTCAAATTAACAATATTTTTCTCTGTCAAAAAGGTTAAAAGTATTAAATTAGGTTATTACAGACTTTAGGGTACATCGAAAGTCTCTTTACAGGCCCCAAGATAAGATTGCCCCCCAATGCTCTTAAGGTGCATGCCGTTTACGACTTCAGTTTGACCGTCATTTCGCGCTCCGATCCGCGGAATCAAATGACCACATACCAACTAATAACGGGCAGCGCCAAAACATCCTTCACGCCCCAAATCCTTTGCCGTCGAAATTGCGATCTAGGTGTTTATGCCCCGTTGGACAGCGTGCATCTGATCCCAAAATGCGATGACTGCCCGGGTAAGGTTAAGCGGTATGAGTGGTGGTTGTTGGATTCAGATTCGGAGCCCTATCTGGAATCAACCTATAAATACCTGATTCTCCACACTGAACAAGTCCGTGTTCAGATCCGTCTGAGAGTGTGGCTAAAAGGCAGAAAGCACGCGGATGCATATTACACGCTCCGCCGGAACAACGGACCTCAAAAGGGCAATTGCACAATCCATCCTGCTTTGGGCGTCGAGAGCTTGTCAATGTTCGAGATCAATTGCCAGGGATTTGAATCGCTTTTCCATCCAATAACCTATCGCTACATGGTGCCATATGCAGTTGTGGCCTCTAATGTGCCATATACGAGAATAAAGCTCACCCTACCCGCCACCGAATACATCATGATTTCTGTTTGTGATGCCATTGACATGTGCGTCGAAAGAGTGGTAAATGTGAGAGTATTGGAGATGGATGCGAAAATACAAAAAGGAGTAGAAGAGGTGATGGCGAAGGTGCCGCATTTCTTGCAGCGGGGTCATTGGAATAGAGCCTATATCGCGGGATTAGCTGCCAACGCCTACCTAGACGTGTCAGTCGATGGCCATGAAATCTACTCGTATCTGCAGGACTTGGTCCTTACAACGGGCTCGCAGTTGGAGCAAATTACCTCATTGATCGCTATCATGCTGGTTCAGCTGTATCCAATCGACTTTCGTGGAGCCATGGTCATGGCGCATATGTTTGAGCTGTTGGGCGACACCTTCACGGAGGTCGTTCCGGAGCACGAATGGCTACATCGACATGGCTACTTCTCGTTGTCGGCCATCCATATGTTCTTTATGTCCCTTCTAGGGCAAAAAACGCAAAGCCATTCAAACGCCATGTGTAGTCTATATAATCCCGCTTGCTTGAATTTGCAGAGAATCGATTTGGAGAAGCCCTTCGTCATTAAGTTTGATACAATCATTTTGGAGCGCATCAATAGCTGGCTGATGAGCACATGGTTCCTGTACAGGTGCATTTTCTATCTCGGTGTCATTGCCACTCAGAGACATCATCCCTATGATAACGCCATGACCATCTACAGGAGCGGCATTGCGTACCAGGTAGGCATGTGTTCGAAAAATCAATAACCAAATGCATCATATAAAAATATCTCAAGATATATCACTTTATAGATAATAGTTCGTATAAAATAGGAATTGCGGAATTATTTTCTAGCCAACTAGTGTTTATTTATTGTGACTATGTTATTGATAAAATTGCTTTGATTTTGTGCATGTTTACTACCAGGTTAATGTGACCGAGGTGACTGCGAGCGCCAAGGAAATCAAGCTGAAGACAATAGACCAAATACACGTCATCAAAATATCGACAAAGCTGCTCCACGAACTAAAGCGTAAACTGAACCACAGCTCCATTCTGCTCCAGGTCATATCGCAGCAGAACTTTAACAACATCTACTGGTGGTATCCAGACCCATTGCCCTCGAAGACCAGTGTGCTTATCGTCCACGCTTACAGTCCCGTTCAGTACTTTAAGTCCGCCAATGAATTGCTTTTGATTAACCCTTTAGTGTACAAGACGAATATAACGCAGTTCAACGACCAGTCCCTCAATCAGTACATGACCAACAATACCATCCAGAACAGTACGGAAGTTCACATCTACACTGTGATGCTAAACCACAAGGCCATGTTGGCCGTGCGAATTGTGAGTTGTTCGGAGCTAATGTACGTCAAGATGCGGCTGCACAGATGGCCAACGCTGAAGCAGATACGCCAGCAGGCTTGTCGAATAACCCCCGAAATGGAGGGCAAACGCATTTGGATGGCCAACTCCTGTGACCGGAGCCCGGCATACGTGGCCATTCACAAGCCGGGTGAAATCCGATATAAGTCCGAGGAGGAGGATCGGCTAAAGTCGCGTGGCAAGCGGAAGGGAAACAAAACGTACACACCACCAGAGCTGAGACAAACGGAGGACGTTGGCTATGATAATGAGGAGATCGTCCACAAGTCGAAATATCTGAACTACTCGATACTTTTGGAAATATACCAGTGCAACATCTGGAAGAACCGTTCGCTGGATCCCGGCTGGAGCGAGGAACATTGCGAGACCTCCTTTGAGCACAGTCGCGGATCATCTGTGCAGTGCACTTGCTATACGCTGGGAGCCCTATCATCTCGAATTTTTCCAATCTCAACGGTATTGTTTATAGAGCACATACCCGTGCCCATATTTTCGTTCAACATGACCATACCGGCATTTCTCGTCCTGCTCGCCCTGTTGCTCATCTTCAAGTGCCTCTTGCATCTCAACATTATTTCCGCCTACATGAGGGATCCGGAATTTCTGCAATGCGGCATGCCATTGGGAAAGCAGAATCCATCGTTCAAGGATGACACGGAGATCATGGTCGTGATTGTGACTGGTGGTCAGGAGTTCGCCGGCACTACATCGAACATCAAGTTTTACCTTAAGTCGCCGCATCGTCAGCAGACATCGTATCAAATCACACAGGATCCCGGACATCCGCAATTGGTAAGGAACAGCACCATTAAGATAGCGGTTCCACGCGGCGACATCTACATACCAACCCGTTTGGCCCTGCGTCTCGTGCCCAATGGTCGCTTTCCATCCTGGTACTGTCGCTCCATAACAGTGGTGGACCTGAAGTTCAAGGTTGAGCAATTGTTCATCGTAGAGAGCTGGATTGAGCGGAAGAGTCACATGCAGTTCATGCGATCCAAGTACTTCACACACGGCAGCTACCGCAGATACCCCAAATACACGTGGTGCAAGAGGTTCCGCACCCGAGCAGAGCAACTCTACATCAGCTGGTTTCTGATCAATGCGATTACAGGTCCTTCGCAAAGTAGGGCTGGGGGCATCATCATAAGTCGGTTCGAACGCACCTGTGTGTGGATCTGCAAGACTGCGATTACTTTGTTGGTGGTGGTCTTGTACTTCGGAAAGCACACGGTGGAGTCCATTCAGGAGGAGACCAGGCAAAACATCGATAATGGCATCCGTGTTCACGTGGTCGCTGCCCTGGGTTTCTACGCTTTTTTAATTGGTTTAGTTGTGCACGTCCTGTTTGAAGTCGTCATTTTACGTTGGCTTTGGCCACAAACGTAAATGGGGAGTAGCTTACTTTATGGAATTTTCTTATAAATTAATAAATAAAATACAACGTATATTGCGTTTACAGAGTCGGTACTTTGAAATCATTTCAATAGTTTTCATATATCCCAAGCAAATAGGTTTCTTTCAAAAGCGATTGTCGTTCGCTGTTGCCAAACGACATGTTTTCTGTTCGATTTCCTTATAAACAATTTGGGGATAAAGTGCGGAGCACTGGCAATTTGGGAATTTAAATAATTCAAATTACCACTCGAAGGTCTTCGCCTTATGTTCTGGCGACCATTTCCGACCGGGCTTGGGCTAATGGATTTTTCCACGCCTAATTACCATTACTTAGCCGAAAGGGGCAAAAACACAGACACACACACACACACACACACACACACACACACACACACGCGTAAAAAGAGGTAAAATTGCATTAAAAATTATCGCTTTTTTTAGAAACTATGCTGGCGTTTATTATTTTTTGTAACTTGAGAGAGTGTATGCAAATGGAATTTCATAGTCACCATTAACACCTTTTTGCACTGTCTCTCCTTCACACCTGTTTCTTGTGGTCCACACCCATTTTTTTGTTCGCATATTTTATGTGACGTTGGGTGAAATTAAAACAAAAAAACAAAAAAAAAACAAAAAATAAAATAAAAATGCATTTAATTAAATGCCACACAAATGCTGCGAAAAACGTTTCCAACGTGTGATATTTTATGCCAGAAGTCGGGGCAGTTTTTCTCCTCACTGCTGTTGTTCTCGTTTCTCATTGTCGTGGGGGACAGTCGAAAAATGCATTTTCATAACGTTACTGGGCATTATAAATGTGTTAAGTTGGGGTGGCTGGGTTGGCCAGCACAGTTTCGCTCTTAGAGAATATTTTACATTGCTCAAATGGAATATTCTGGCAAAAGTTCAAGTTATATTCAAGTTTTTCAATTACTTGCGAAATGCATTTAATAACGAAGCATTTCACGAGTGTATCTAAAACAAGGCATCCCACAAACGTCTCAAAGCAAAAATGATTTCCAATTCCCCCGATGATTGACAGCGTTCCAAATATGCTCGCAATTCAGTTGCATTTCCATCTAGTACTTCAGTGTTCGCCCTTCAGGCTGCAAGCCAGTCGTGGATCTACGAAATTTGGCCAACAGCTCAATCTGCAACCAGTTCAGATTTCTGCTTACCTTGTAGTTAGGCACGGATTTGCACATCTGCCTACCATTTGGCACGGAGTGATTTTTCCTTTTTGTTCGAATGTCGCACAGAGGATGCAACGGAAATTGTACTGAGGGCACGGCCATTATTCTCTTCAAACAGCCATAAGCCCAAGGAGACGACATACGCAGCTGAATTTGTCATACTGTAGTACTGCCAATACCCGGTACTGCAAATCCGAAAACGGGGTATACTTGACATGGGCCATTGCTTGGTTACAATTCTTACATTGAAGAATTCATGTGCTAAGAGCTTCTAGTTCTGTAGAATCATTTAGTTGGATATAAATTGTAAAAGGCCATCTTTCTAAATGAATGTGGCTTATATGTTCGAGATATGTGTTATTTTTAAACTTAATAGGATTAAACTAGCGGGTAGAGCAGAGTCAGAGAAATGTAGCAACGTTCTTACGTGCTTTTTTGTGCTTATGCGTTTTTTTGAAGCCACCAGCCGACAAAATTGCAGCCGACAGTTTGGCACATTCCCATTTCGAGGCCCTGGCATAACAACGCCCACTTTTTGGCCACTGTTTGCATACGTGCCCGTTGTGAAATTGCCTGGGCGCACTCCTCAAATCATTGGCCACTGCCACGCCCCCGGCTACGGTAACCGCCCGCCGCCCCTTTTGGCCTTGTGGAAGCGCAACATGTTAGTGACACCATCGAAATGGAAAACGACGTGGAACATGGCAACAATAACGAGCGGCGATAACAAACAACTTCGAATTTTCGCCTTACCCTGGAAGAGGTAAGAAAACCGTGCGGAAATTGAAGTGTGAAGTGTGTGAGTGGATTAGTTATCCTGAAAATTGTTGCCGTTTGGCAAATTTCCTTCTGATTTGCTGCACACACTTGCTTTTGGCCGACATATTTCAGCTTATGCTCACAGCTCGGGCGAGTTGTGCGGTGGCTCAAGCTCAGAAAGATTTGCTCTGGGGGCAAACAGCAAAAAATGTCTATTTAAGGCAAAGTTTTGCTGAGGTGCTGCTGCAACTCCAGCAATCCCCCGAGGAAAACTGTCTGTAAATATATAGGTACAGCGGTGACATTTTTCCTTCAGCTCTAAACTCGCCTTCCCACATTTTCCCACCGGTTTGTTTGCGTTGCAACGACGCGACGCTGCAGTGGCTCATAGGCAAATGCAGTTGGAAAATGCCGATTGAGTGACTGTCAGTTGAGCTCTTGATACGCGGAACTAGTAGCCATGATAAATATCCTGCTAAAATCAAACTTAAATGTTATTACTTTGAAGGGAACGTATGCATTACTTGTTTATATCAAGACATTATTCATAGAACGTCAACTTAACAATTAATCATAACTGAAAAATACATTATTGTGCAGTGAGCTTTGCACATAATGTATTTTGTTTTAGTATTTTGGTCATGCTCTACAGATTATGCATTTTATTTTTGTGTGGTTTGGTCATGCTCTACAGATTATGCATTTTATTTTTGTGTTTTAGTCATATATTTAACCTAAGCTAAATCATTTTAGACCATTTAAGGACCATTATAATTATATACTATTACATAATTACAATATTTTCTAAGCAAGTGAGCCTCTGTCATATGCCCCAAGATGCACTCATCCGTTCATGTGGTACTTCGCCTAAGTCGTCGTCTGCGGTATTCCCAGTTTTCCAACATCCAATTCCCGATCCACCAACGCTCTTTGCGGCGCATTGCACATATGTACGCCGTGTGGTGCAGTGAAGTTGCGTTCGCGGCATTTTGCCTATAAAATTTGCAAGAATTCGTTGTGTCAATTGTGTACCCATGCCCGCCACTTTCTCAGCCGCATTTCAAGTCTGTGCCGGCTGACTTGCCTAGGTCTGGCAAATACTCCTTGGCAGCCTTAAATTTTGCTTAACAAATTGGCATTTTTATTGGGACAGGAAGAGGGTTTTAAGCTAAACACAAAGTCGTTTGCAGCTACGTTTTGCGCGAAATTGTGGCTGTAGCTGAAAGCAAACCATCAAGTCTGCATTACATGGGGCGTATGCGCAATTTCGGATGCAGTAAAAATCCAGCTGCAGATGTTTCGAAGCACGAAATTAATTACGAAAAATAAGTACGCAGATATGTGCACACACACACACCACACGCATAATGAGAGCGAGAAGGACCAACACAAGGAACAGCGCCAAAATAATAATAATAAGTAACAAAAATAAACTTTACACGCTCAAGAAAAGCAGCAAAACCAGCACGAGCGGAAAAGGCGAAGGATGCTCGGTGGCATAAGCAGCACAGGCTATAAACAAGCATATGCTAAGGCAGAAGGCATAAAAATAAATCCGAAGAAGGGAAAACTTTTTATATTATCTGACTACGTTCGTCTGAGTCTGTGTGTGTGTGTGTGTGTGTACGATGGATGTGTGTGCGTGTTGTGTATATTTGAGTTTTGCAGATCACTCTCGAATGCCTGAGTATCCGTCACGAAGGACCACGAAGCAGCATTGTATCTGACGGCTTCCAAACTTTCAACTCTTCCTATATAAAACAAGATAAAATGCTATAGTATATAGAGTCCCCGACTATCAGATACCCGTGAAACGGGAAATTTCAACATTTTCTGGAATATCGGTAGAAATTGGAGAAAAAATGATAAAATGAAAATAACTTGACAATTTTATAAAAGTGTGGGCGTGGAAAAAAGTTTTTTGCAAATCTATACAAATTTACAGGATATATAAAAAAATTAAGGAATACCACAACATTTTTCAAAAGTGTGGGCGTGACAGTATTGGGCGTTTTGTGGGCGTAGGAGTGGGTGTGGCAAAAATTAAAATAAATACATTTTCTACTTTTGAATGCAGATTTTTGGAGAATTGCGCCAGAAACATTTAGAGGTATGCCACTTCAAAATCCGATTAAGATAAGTTGAGTTATGGAGTTTAGAACTTCAGCCTTTGGACATTTTTTAATTGTTTTGAATTTCTACAACATCATACATCAAAAAAATTACAAAAATATTTTAAAAAAATAAATTTTGTAATTTGAATGCAGTTTTTTAGAGAATTGCGCCAGAAACATTTAGAGGTATGCCACTTCAAAATCCGATTAAGATAAGTTGAGTTATGGAGTTTAGAACTTCAGCCTTGGGACGTTTTTTAATTGTTTTGAATTTCTACAACATCATACATCAAAAAAATTACAAAAATATTTAAAAAAAATAAATTTTGTAATTTGAATGCAGTTTTTTAGAGAATTGCGCCAGAAACATTTAGAGGTATGCCACTTCAAAATCCGATTAAGATAAGTTGAGTTATGGAGTTTAGAACTTCAGCCTTGGGACGTTTTTTAATTGTTTTGAATTTCTACAACATCATACATCAAAAAAATTACAAAAAATTACAAAAAAAATAAATTTTTAAATTTTAATGCAGTTTTTTAGAGAATTGCGCCAGAAACATTTAGAGGTATGCCACTTCAAAATCCGATTAAGATAAGTTGTGTTATGGAGTTTAGAACTTCAGCCTTGGGACGTTTTTTAATTGTTTTGAATTTCTACAACATCATACATAAAAAAAATTGCAAAAAATTACAAAAAAAATAAATTTTTAAATTTTAATGCAGTTTTTTAGAGAATTGCGCCAGAAACATTTAGAGGAATGCCACTTCAAAATCCGATTAAGATAAGTTGAGTTATGGAGTTTAGAACTTCAGCCTTTGGACATTTTTTAATTGTTTTGAATTTCTACAACATCATACATCAAAAAAATTACAAAAATATTAAAAAAAAATAAATTTTGTAATTTGAATGCAGTTTTTTAGAGAA